CTGTCCTAACCTAACCATACCACTGATGCTGCTATCCAAATATTAACTGTGGCTATACAGTGTGGACAGTGTGGAAGAAGACAGATTCAAATTCATGCCATGCAGGAAAATTGTCCTATATTCTTTTCTACCCATTCCCATGTACTGTGCTGAAAAAGAATTGGCTTTCAGCATTTTTGTCAAGGGGTCAGAGTCCCGGAGTGAAATGCACTTGGTTATTCTTATACTTACTGACTTATGAGGTCAATGTCCAGTTTTTCATGGTATGCTCCTCTGTCTGATGGTCTGATGGTAGCTTCCCATGCTTAAATCCCAAAGGAGATTATCAGGAGGGAACTGTTCATAGAGTGGAAGGTATGAGTAGCCAGGGAGGCTGCAGAATAATGGAGAGATGTTAACAGTTAACTGACAACCACAGTGCCCACCACCAACTCCAAGTATAAGTCAGCCCAAAAATACCACCATGAGAAACTGGAAAGAAATTCCCAAGTGCTCTGAAAGTAAGACAGAAAAACAGGAGCCTGCAGGGAAGAAAACTTTTGTTAAATTCTCAGCCAGATTTAGGGACATTAACTCATCTCAAAGCATTGAACTCAAGCAAAGGGATGTCTTCTGACCACCCCTTGAAGCAACACTCTTTGCAACATAGAGCCCCCAGTTCCCCTGCACATAGCGCAGAAGCCCTGAAGTGAAGCCCTTCTGCAGAAGTCTTCTCTGAAAGCACCAGTCGACTGGCTTCATGTTCCTTGCGCCTCAGCCTTGGCCTGGGGTGGGTAGTTGTAAGCGTGACTCAGGGCCAGCTGGAGGTGTTCCATCAAGAGGTCACAAAGACCTGTTTGACAGGTTCCTATTTTTCGTTACTCATTAGCATGGTGCACCTGAGAAAGAACAGAAGTGTCAGGAATCTGTTGTCATTGCAAAAAAGTTTTTTTTTTTTTAATGGCTTGTTAACATTACCTGATTAAATCCCCCCTTTTTGTGTCTGCTTGAATGGAAAGGTTGTCAACAAGACCAGCTGCCACTCCTGGGTCCCCTCTCGGCGATTGGCGTACCCAAACAACCCACCCCACACCTTTCAGTACAACAAAGAAACAGCCTGTATTGAAATCAAGGACTGTGGCTCTCCTTTGGTAGAAGACAGTCCAAAGTTCTGTGTTCCTGTTTCCCACTGAAGTAGCTCAGGGGCCATCCTTAATCTGAATTGCTTGGTTTTAGCTCTGTGCGGGATGCTAACACAGATAGAATGGTTTCATCAATAAACTGGGCGTGAACAAAACCATGGTTAATTAGCATCATGCGCAAACCTGGTTGTGAAGATTTCAGCTACCTTTCTTCAGCTTGGGGCACAGCACTTAAGTGCCCATCTGGCCAGCCAACAGAATGTCTGGCTGAGGATCATGGGAGGGGTAGTCCAACCCATCCCAAAGGGCAGTAGGCCAGGGAAGGCCTTGTGAAGCTACCTTTTCCAAGCCTCTGCATCGTACACTTCGGACGTGAGACACCACACATCTTGTCTGTTTGCCCAGCTCAGCTGGACACAAAGCAATCCACATTGCTTTTCTCATCCCTGTAATGTTTTGTAAGGATTCAGAATAGGCTTTATTTGATTCCGGTGCTGTATTTGATGCACGCAATCCTACCTTACATAACAGCAGCTGGAAAATGCTCACCTTCTCTCTGTCTTGATGTTCTTTACTTACCAGGTCTGGAAAGGGTGGCCCGGTGGAACAGCAGATGGTTTTAGCGCTCCACTGAGACGATAAACACTGAAAAGACATGACCAGTTTCTGCTGAAGCGTTTAGAAAGTAGAAGTGGTTTCTCTGCCTGTGCATTTCTAGCATTGCAGGCCAGTAAGTTTAGATGCTAAACAAGAGCTTTGTTTTAAGCCCTCCCCTCTCAAATCTCTTTTTTGTCCTCTTTCCAGCCTGTTCACCTGAGTTAACCCTGTTCCCTCATTCCAGAAAATGAAGATCATTGCCGCCATCTTTTTTATTTACTCGTGGGGAACTTTTCAGTACTGCCCTTCAGTTGAAATGAATTTTAGGAAGGTTCTCAAAGAAATAAGTAGAGCAGTGTTTCTCAGCCTCAGCAACTTTAAGATGTGTGGACTTCAACTCCCAGAATTC